ACAACAGAGTTCAAGACTTTTGCGATAACGCTTATTAATTCAGTGACGTTTATTAATCTGCAAAGATAGGAAGACCCGAACAAAGATTATTCGTTTGTTGTTAAGCACAAAGCTACTCAATGAGTCCACCGTGAAATCGTGCCCCAAATTTAAACCTTGTAAGCCTTCGAGTTTACTACCTCTCAGGGGAGAAAATCGAACAATGATGTAATAGAAAACTGGAGGAGATATGAAACACAAAAAGAAAGTACTGACGAACACATTAACTAAACATATGTTACATATGCACATATAATATTGAACCAAAAAGGAACAAGAACTTTTGTGCTTATAACAATTTAGCCAAAAACATTAATGTCATATGTTTTTTATTGAATATTGAAAATGATTGTTTGTTTTGTAGTTGATCGCAAAGCTACACAATGGGCTATCTGTTCTCTGCCCACCACGTGTATCGAAACCCGGTTTCTAGCGTTGTAAGTCCACAGACATACCGCTGTGCCAATGGGGGGCGTTGAAAAATAAGGAATCTGTTGTCCTTATTAAATATAAAACTATGTAATTGGTCATTTGTGGTTTGTCCATTGCAGGTATAGAAACCCGATTTTCAATGTTATAAGCTTTCATATTTCGCCCCGAGTCACCGGGTCGAATCAAGGAATAAGCAATTTTGTGTTTTAATTATCTTAAATTGTCCCCTTTTTTTTAATAATAATAATACTAATATAACCATCATAACAATGTATCCGATATTATCTTAGATATATTTAATAAAAGAAATAATTTAAAAGTTTTATGTTCTAGATTTGAATTTAAAATTTATGGAAAAATGCTATTAAGGTTTTTATAAGAGATTGTAAAGAGAATATAGGGTTATCTGCTTTAACTATACTCTGAAACAAATAGAAAAAAAAGGTTATATTTTCATAGGTGTGTGTATACTGATTGAAACATATATTAAAATAGAGACGATATTTTATCATGTATGTATCCGGCTAAGTCCATTATAGATAGTTATTCCCAGTTTGTCCCTGAAGAAGAAAGGTCCACCTTTCGAAAGGACTCGGGTTATAGGTTTTTATTCATTTCTATCAAGACTTCTTGAACCTACGTGTTTTTCTAACATCATGAATAGATTGTTCTTGTAAGTCTTCAGTTGATACTAGAAAGTATATTTATTATGTGTGCACGTAAGTTTGCGGCAGGGTCCATTATAGATTTTTGTACAGCTGTCAATGGACTGTTTTTGCTTAACAGAAAATGCTTAGGGAAAGGGGTTAATAATAACAACAGCAATTAATTGAGATCACGAGCTTGTATTCGACTAAGTGATATACGTAATGATCAATGAAACTTTACATGATCAGATTTTTTTTTTATTTCATTATTTTGCCTTTATATTCAACATGAGATTAAACAACCATATTTGACTCAAGTTTCCATGACTGTTCCTAACTTTAGCTTACGTGGGTTCTACTCGGCTTATAACTTTATACTTAGCCTAGGATTACAATATCATTTTCGTTTCAATGTTTCGTGTTAATATTTGGTTTGAAGTATGTGTACAATCAATAAAAAGAGTAATTTTATATGTGTAGTTATACGTCTGATATATATCTAACGTATTTTGTTGTTATTGGTATCACTATATCCGTGGTTATTTGATCTGGCTGAGAGATAGTGTGATTTGTTAAAATTTTGTTAATTAGGAATTTCTAAAGATTAAATTTTAGTCCAGGCAATAAAACTCTCGCTTGGCGTCGGAAAGGTACAGGGTTTGTCGCTTGGCGTCGGAAAGGTACAAGGTTTGTCGCTTGGCGTCGGAAAGGTACAAGGTTTGTGCCCAGGACAAGCAAAAATAAAGGAAAATTTATATAACTCCAAAAAAAAACAACAGCAAGTTTTTACTTATAAACACAAAAGTGTTCATATCATATTTAATTGTAAATTGAAGTGAAATAAGTGATAAGATATTTTTTTATTGCTATACGATTTGACTCTTTTTTTTTTTTTTGCCTATAGGTGGTTGGAAGTTCTTTCTAGTCGAAAAAAAGTGTGAATGATATTTATGAGAAAAGGACAATTTATAATTATAACTTATTTTTATATATCTAGCTGTAATTTATATTTATCAAGTAAACTAATCTGTATAAACATAATGGCACTGTCTCTTATATGTCCACCAGGGTGTGGATGGATCGTCACAAAAATTGGTTTGGAGGTTCATTAGGTACATACAAATTTTCAGTTTTGTATTTTGCGTTTTGCGATTTTTATGGGCGTTTTTGCGTTTTTTACCACTACCTCACCTCCTGTGGATGGATCTTCACCAAATTTGGTGTGGAGCATCACTGGGTCCATGGGGAGAAAAATACAAATTTGCGGTTTCACTTTTTGTGTTTTGCAGTTTTTATGGGCGTTTCTTTTATAATTACATATAAGGGAAACAACTTTTTATGTCCTAAGATAACCTTTCATTAGTCATGAATTTACATAATTTCCGTCCACGGGACGGGTACTCCAGCTATTATACAATATTATTACACGTATTATTACATTTTTTAAACTTAGTTTTCATGAGTGTGATGTACATAGCACCTTATGACTGATCATGAATTTATATTTTGGTTGTGAACAACAGTCTTCCTGCGCACAAAGATCGAGTCCCGGATATTATAGATAGTTTGGATGGGCGGAAGGCTTGTAACAAAGATTATCTGAAGAAGCTAAAGTAATGAAACGCATATTTGTAACTCCGATCTTTTGATCATTTGAAATAACTTTGTGTTTTTTTTTCGTCTGAACGAAACAACGCAAATATAAAGCAAGCGGTATAAGTTCGTAATACGGTTTATTGTGCCAACTCCTGTTGTAAGAGAGCAACATAATATATATTATGCACGCTTCGAAATTACATTCTTTTATCGGTTTCGGGTTAGAGTGTTCACACCCTGCTTAAGCTTACTTGTTTTACCTGGCTAAAAGGTTACACGAACCTATTTAATTACCATTCCGTTACCGACCCGCCCGAGTTTAAATATCTGTATCCTCAGCTCAAACTTATGTGATAATATATATAATTATATATCAAATAGTTTAAGATTTTTAAAGCTAATAATTTCTAATATATATTACTTTTCTTTTCTCTAATGAATTTAATTGTCGTATCTTCAAAACCTTTTTAGAGATTTAAAAGAGTAACTTGAAAAATCTTCTTAGAAAAATGAAACTAAAAAGACTTAAAAGACAAACACCAATGTTTGGAAAAAATATATATTTTTTTACGAAATGAAGTTTTAACTAAAGCGTTTAAACATCAGGATGCTAATGTGTATTAGATGTATTGTAACATTTAGATGATGTACTGATGGTTAATTGCATTTTATAAGAACTAAGTCCAAGTCCTGCAATGTCCTTGGAACTGCAACACCTTTCATCGTCACTGCACTACTTTTAATGGCGATAGTTAGGCGCTATTGCCCAATTTTGCAATTTCCATTGCAACAAGGTTCTATGAAGGACAGTGAGTTCAGTCTTACGATAAACACTTGGACAAACTTTTATTCCGAGACTTTTCACATTATTGGATGTCGGTTAGTAGAGCAAAGGCATAAAAGTCCATTAGACTTGCATCAGGGGACTGATAAGCATTTTTAAAATAGAATTATTTTGATTTTTTAGTAATTTTTAGTAATTGTTTTAGTAATACTTCCCATAGAATTGCTGTTGATTTCAATGTGTGGCTGGAAGCTTGTGAACGTTTGGTCTGTGAACCATCGTTAACTGCAACTCCTTGTTTATTATGTTTTTAACCAGTGTATATATCCAGCTCCATCACAATGGCTATTTTTAGGGGAGGGACAGAGCGGACTCTTTTTATAACTATATACTTCACATTGCGTTTGATTGTGTTACTTTTGATTGGTTTGAGGTGTGTGTTTTTTTTTTCAAAACCATTGCAGCTTAAATGTTATGCTGTGCAATTTTTCCCTCTTCAATGCAGAACATTAAGTAGCTTTCTGGTTCGCTAGTTCTTCTGAATGATAGCAAAGTTAATTCAAAATATAATAACAATAATAATAAATACTCGGTGTTCAAAAATAACTAAAAAATGAACGATACTGTGTTAATAATCTTTACCCTAATTTTGATTTGCAAATGATTTAAATAGATTTATAATAATCACAATTCACTTACTTAATCTAGTCAACACCATAACAGTAGTTGTTCATAAAAGTTGATGATATAAAATAGCGTTTAGACCACTACTATGTCTGTAGTATCTCAGTTGACCTGAGGAACACTAATTCTGGACGAAAGGCCTTGTGGACACTCCATATGGCAGATGTAGCGTGGTTCACATATCGTTTCATATTCTTCTTTGCTTTCACTCATCTGCTCTTATAACTGAAAACTCCCTTCTTCGAATTGTTGTCTGTTGGTGTCACATTGTTTAACATATCATTATTGGAAAATAATTGTGGTGTATCTCTACTTCCAAAAGTCTCTTTTTATGGTGTTTCACTAATGGATAGTCGGAACTTCACCGTGGTCTAAATTTATATTCTAAACATATCTCCCGTGGCGCTAACACTTGCATCTACGGCGACACATACCACTGTATTGGCACATGTAAAGTATTTTTTATAAAATGCGATTTACCTTCTGTATTACTTATTTGTATAAAAATGTATATATGTTTTCCAGAGGTTTAACAGTTTAATCATTATCTAATCTTCTAACTTAATCCAAATGTATATTGAATCTGTTTTATGAATTAATTGATCATTTTGTGTGTATAGAAATACCACAGTAATATAATTCACGTCTTCTTGTTTTAAATTTATTGTTCATACATCCTATTTAGGTTATCTGTTCAGTTTATAATTTATTTTGAATTTTTTTGTTGCGTGTACTTTTCTTTTTTCACTTAATATCTGCAGTTTTTATACAGTGAGTATTTTTAATCGTTAATACGGTTATGTTCTTATTTTCCACAGCTGTTTCAGTTAGTGTTAGTGCTTGGACGTTGGTGGTTATATCAGTTGAGCGTTATTATGCTATTTGTCACCCACTTAAGTCACGAGAATGGCAGACGCTGTCCCACGCTAACAGGATTATTTTAATAGTTTGGGCGGGTTCTCTGATTTGTATGTTGCCAGTGGCGATTCTGAGCGAATTACAACCTGTCCGACACAGTGGTAAGTCTTTTTTTTTTACCTTTGAATTAGCTTATGTTTTAAACAATCTGATTTTTGTATGTAAATCTGCTTAAAACAACTGTTTTATAACGCTCAACGGGCGTCTGTTTCATTTTATATTTTCAAAGATAACTAAACTCTGAATGAATTAACAGTGAACTCTATCAGATTCTTCTTTCCCGCTTTTTGGCAATCTGTTTTAGAAATATCTGTTTTTTCGCATTATTTGCGTTGAAATTATAACTAATTTTCTACCAACCTTCTTATTATTAAACTTGATTTAAAATTAAACAAATTTCTTCTTTTGAGAACTTTATTTTATAATTCATTTCAGGGCTTTCCAATTTGTCCCTTATTGTAGCACAGCACAATATTTATTAAGACTTTACATTTTATCACGATAACTTTTTAAGACTAAGTCTGTATCACTTTACAGAGCCTTTCAATATTTTTGTATTGCTTTTATTACTGTGGTCCCTTCCTTTGTCATCCTGAGTTTATTTCTTCCACAAAACCTGAAGATATGTCCTACAACAACAACAACTTCGTAGCGTCATCCCCCTCCACTCCCTCACCCACCCCTAAAGATACAATAACTGTCTAATTTCTTCATGCCTTTTTGCTGATTTTAACATATTCTGCCATCTTTTTGTAAATCCTAACTTCACAAGATTTTTTACTGCAAAATGTCACCTCCATCAAGATGTTTCTTGAATCACATCCAGACAACCTGGATCTTCGATGAAATTTGTCAAAGTGGGTCTAATTTCTTCAGTTTACAGCTGAGAAACATTACTTCAAGTAAAATCAGAGAACCCTATAAAACAACACAATATAATACCCAGACTAACATGTCTTCGACAACCATCTGCTTATTTGAGGATGACAATCCTATCCAGTCCTTGTTAGTATAGCATCTATTTACAGTTATTAGACTTGTGATTTTCCACTCATTTACCTTTCCAACCTGTTGTTCACATTAACTGTTGATGCTTCAACGCTACACTTCTCATGCACCAATTCTACAGACAGATTTTTTCTTCACAGATAATCTGAGCAAACATCCATACTGCTAATTCGTTTCAGCAACCCAATATACTAAGGTCCTAATTCCCCGTTTCCCTTCTTCTAAGCCTTTTAGGCATTGAATCCAGCACTTACTTTCTCAGTTTATTATAAATTATTTCAAACTATTGTCCAGGTTTCATTATCCACTAAAACCATTTCTTATCCACCTCTTTCAAATGTCATTATACTGTCATAGGACGACTTCTCTTTCATTTGCATCTTTATAAACCACCAGTGATTCCAGCAGAGTTCTTTCACTTGCTCACACTGTTTCTTCAGTTCGATCTAACTTCCCTAGCCATGTGTTGCCTCTATACCCTATAAAATCTGTATATTCAGGATCAATATGGTTGATATAATGAGCATTATAGGCGACGGAAAAACATTATAGCAGAAAAATATACAGATAAAAGCAAAATCAAATTTAATTTGAAGTAACGCTACATTATATGGTATCGTGAATTAAATGACAGAAACATTTACTTCCTTCTCATTACTAAGTACTACAGTCTCAGTTGCACGAGACATTTAAGACAGATGTTTCTTTATCGATGAAAGTGATCAACTCATTCATGTTCTCCTACAGACTCTCTTAATGATCTAAGAGATAACAAGAGAAAGAACCAATTGTTCATGCTCTCACTCTGATAAAGATCAATTTTTAGAATAATATTGTTAACCCTTCCAATGCGGTTGTCACAAATACGGGTCGGACATTTTTCTTTCGTACACTGCGGCTGTCAATCGTTCAATCAAAGTCTTCATCAGTGTTTCGGTCGCGAACTTTGGAGGGGTCGGATACATTTTTGACCTCTTCCCCTTCTTTAGAGTTGTTTATCTTCGTTTCAATAATAGTTGTATTTACACGAGGTCCAGAGGTTGCATTAGGATACTTCATCCAACCCTTTTCATAAGTCCATGGCCATGTTAACATTTGTGCGTGACTAACAGTTAACTGACGCTAGGTCCGTGCGATTGTTCTGTACACTCACTAACAGCCCCATAGTTACTCGCGCACTTTTTACTAGTCTAACTTATTGAGTGTGTTTACATATATACCCTTTAATACACTCATAATATTTTATTTTAATGATATATTGTAAGTATTTGGTTGTAGTTCATGAATAGCTATGTAATGGGGAGAGGTACTGAGTTACTATTCCATCATGTATGACGTATCTTATAATTTCTGTGAGTAGATTGTTCTTATACAGATTTTTATGGAAATACTTCATTGTAATATGTTGGAGTCTGTCAGATGTGTATGATATGTTTGAATATTTATGTAGAGTTTTGCTGCTGTGTTTCTTGGTATGCAGTATGCTGTAGTTGATATTTTGTTTTTTACGGTTTGCAGTTTATTTTTGATTATGTTTTGTGATATATTGTATCAGGCTGGGCATGCATATTCCAGTACTGGTCTGACATATTTTGTATAGATTTTAAGACTGGTTTTTGCTGGGGTACCTTTGTATTGTTCTGACAAACTCCTAACATAAGTTACAAGTTTCCATGATCTGTTTGTTACATCATTTACATGTTTATTCCAATTTAGTTTCGAATCATATGTGATTCCTAAGAGTTTTGCTGATGTAGCATTCTGGAGGCATGTTCCTTGTAAATATAGTATTGGTGGATGTTTTGACATTTTCGTTGATTTTCTAAAGAGAAGTAGTTGTGTTTTTGGTACTTTTATTTTAATTCTGTATTTCTGACAGTATTCGTGTACTGTTCTTCTTCATCGGGATTCGGTCCATGTTTTGGATCAGGGAGGGTTAGGTTCAGGGATTTCAATTTTAAATTTCCCTCGTAAACTGGTAAGGCGTATTTATGAGCGTTGGGCTACTCTCCATCCACCCAATCATTGTTACCGAACAATGGGTCAGTCATTTTATATCTTTTTCTCGTCAGTACCCCTCACGATGTCAACAAAATCCCTGTTTGTGGACGAAAAAAGTCCGACCCGTATACGAGACATCGTAGTGAATGGGTTAATTTTATGATAGAATATCAATCAATAACACCTATGTTCCTGAAGCAAATTGTGTACACTTGCAATTGGATGAAACAAGTGTTAACAGATCACAATGTATAATATATTTACGATCATTATTTGAGTTTTTTCAATGATTTCCTAAGAAACAGGGGTAAAACCAACGTGTTCATGTATAAAGCACATTGTATAACATAGGTTGTAACATAGGTAAAATGTACCCAAAAGTCTGATAAGGCATAGTAAGGAAGTGTTTCTATTAATAATTCCTTAAGAATTTCCTGTTTTTGACCACAAATGTTGAAGAACATTTGTCTGATATTAAGATATTTTACTGTATGTATCATAAGCATCAGATTTCAATCTATCTATTTACGAGTAATGCCTTTAAGGCAAGGAACACATTCATATTTTATTTTCACAAAGACTTATTTAAAGTAGCGCTATAATATTGCTATAATTACTACAAAAGTACTTAAAAACATCCTGTATTTATGTGAAATGTTTATTCAGAATCCTTAGAATCTTTACAAAACTTTTTCATGTACTTGCGATAGTTTCAAGATTTGTTATAATATAGTACTATTTTGTTTTTTTTTGTCCGTTTATTTGATGGTAGCGTGATCAGACTCTGAGTGCCAAAAGTTCATTGTTCGCGGCCTGTTGTCACAAAAATGCGCTCTGTACTTTGAGGCCATGTGTGTGTGTGTGTGTGTGCTATAAGAGTAACGGTAAAATCCATTAATATTTTCAAATAAGAGTAATCCAAGAGTTGGCAGTAGACGTTATTGACTAGCTGCCTTCCACATAGTATATCAGCTAAAACGTAGAGCCGGTTATGCGCAGATAGTCCTAGCTTTGCGAGAAAAGTCTGAAACATTGATAGAAGACAAAACAAAACAAAATGCTGGTTTACTAATACTTTATATGTACAACTTATATGAACAAAAACAAACAATTTAATTTATATAGTTTGGCTCCTTTGTTGGGTCCTTCGAGAAGTAACTATCTGAAAACAGAGAAAGTCTATGACTAGCTGTTTTTATTGACCTTGTTTTCTAAGGCTAATCGCACTAATAATAATGGTAGTTTAAGTCTCATGCTGCTCTCAGAATAGCCTTTTCCTTCTAAGGTTTATGGCATGATAAGTCTTAGATCACATAAATTGGCAAACCATCCACGAAACCTCACTCTAAAGGGACCAAGACCATTTAATTAGACAAAGGCATGAAAGTATACTGGAGCTGCATCGGTGGATTTGTCAGACATCTATTAGAAGATTGTTGTAATTCGAGTTTCTTCCGCCAACTTTTTTTTTTATGAAACCAGCAACTGATTTCAAAAAGTTACTGGAAGCTTGAAAATATTTTGACTTCTGAGCCCTCTTCAGCTTCAAGTCTTTGTTCATTAAGTTGTTAATGACATAAAGAGATCTGCCCAACGACATAGCCGTGGGTATTTTGTTCAGAAGATTCTTTTTCGTAACCATAGCTTTCATTTTGCGGATGAAAATTTTGCCCTAGCTTAGGTTGGGGTGTGATTTTGTCGCCATTTGCTACCTCTAATGTTATTTTGTGTAATTTTGTTTCTGCTCCTATAGATAACTTTGAAATTTACATTATTTCAAATGCCATGTTTTTGGCTTTATAACGGTTAACAAACTCTCTGTGTGAATATTTCTCTTTGGACACATCTGTCAGTGGTAATATTGAAATGTCAAATGGTCGGGAAATCGCAGCGAACCAGATATATAAGTTCTCAACATGTCATTGTATTAATATGTGATTAATATTGTTTAAATACAGTGTGAATAATCTCTGTACTCAGATGGCTGACACTTATGTACAATTAATAGTTTCGTTTTGAGTTTACTTACTGATTAAGTATATTTTATTACGTTTCAGCTTTTTTGTATTTAGAACAGGTACGACGTTTCGATCACTGGTGCGATCATTCTCAAGTACCTGTGTTCGAAACGGCGTACCTGTTCTAAATACAGATCTTATTTACTGTAAAAGCAGTAACTTGTATTAAAATATACTTATGTACAATGTATAAAATTATTATTATCATAATAATAGATAGTTAATAGAAATGTAGAGCTTTGCCATTCAGTACAATTTCTTATTTTATGGAACTGAATAAATGTCAGATGTTTTACTGTAGCTCACAAAAGTCAAATATTCGTTAAATATTTTTATTCTTCCTTTAGACAAATATAAATGCAGAGAGAGCTGGCCCAGTATCACTGCTGAACGTCTGTTTAATATATTATTAGACGTGCTCCTCCTAATGGTGCCTCTGTGCATTATGGTGGTTACTTATTCCCTCATCACAGCCACGTTGTGGAGAGCCATGCAACCCCAGATTTCAGTCGAACAAGGTTAGTCATTCCCACGGTTTTATGCCGCACGTATGTAAACTTTTTAAACTTCTGATTAAAATATAGAAACTGAGCATTTATTACTAATAAGTTTACCTTTCTTTGTCTTGAAAGACATTGCTGAAATTACTCCGTGTATTTCTTTATTAGATAACGAAGACCAAACTACAGTCGGAAGTACAAATCCTTCAAGTCGAAAGGTTTTACGGAACATCCTTGTCAGACTCAATCCCAACTTTTCCTCCAGCTGCGTCCTGGCCACTGAACACAGGGTCACACGGGAGACGGACCTTAGGTCCGTGCAGACGGCCACTAATCTAGACAGGTCACTCTCACAAAAGGAACGTGTCATTAAAATGTTGTTTGTGGTTGTCTTGGAATTTTTTGTATGTTGGTCACCAATATATGCCCTTAATACTATTACCCTCTTTGATCCTGTCGCCGTCTACCAGGAACTCGGATACTATGGCATTTCTTTCTTTCATCTACTGGCTTACACGTCATCCTGTTGTAATCCAATCACTTACTGTTTCATGAACTCTAAATTCCGCGAAAACTTCAAAACTTTGTTTGGCTGCAAGAAAAAAAAATGGGAAACACGTACAGACGGTAGTCTTTCTGTAACATTCAAATCTGCTTCCAAATTTAGAGGACGAGAAAATCGTCCCTTTAAACATAATGGATGTGAAACTACCCAATGTATTTGAGATGTTGTGGTCCATTAATTTTGGTGGGTTTTTTTGCCGACTTAAAAAATGGAAACTAATGAGCCTATGTAGTTTTTTTTTTAATTTTGCTTTGAATTTATTATATACACAAGATGGCGTCATAATACGATAACACTTATGTTATAGATTAATCAACAGATACTAATATTACATCTAAACACTATTTTCGCTTATTCTTAATAGAATTTTCCTTTGGCACGGTGTGTTACATCACAAAAGTAACAAATGTGTCATAAAACTGATCTTATTTAGCTATTTGGTGAAAATCTTCTCAGTCATACGATTGAGAAAACCTTTTCCCCTTTTATCCTAGCAGGACATTTTCAGAAATAATATACATATATCATATTTAATAAGTATCTGATCCCTTTTGTCCTTTGATTTCACATGAATTTTATTTAATATATATATCAATTTATTTATCTACAGTTAATATTTTGAAAATGTATTTTACTTGAAATCTAACTCATATAAAAGTGTGTGTGTCACATCACGTCACGCTGGATTCTTCTTGATTTCTCGAAATAGGAGTCATAAAAGCCAAAATGCATTTATCCAGATTGAATACTTCTATTACTGTCTGCCCATTACGATTATAGTGACGGGGAGGGGGGGGGGGTACAAGGGGGCCATGAAACCTTATAAGTGTAGTGAGAGTTGGTTTAATAAGCCTAAAGTAAAGGCGTAGTATAGAATCACCTAGTCCAGAGCCAAGTGCATAAAATTTATCATGAAAGTAAAAATATCGATTCAGTTTAAACTTAAATCGTTTCTGAAATAAGCTATTTTTTGTTATATCATCAACGTTTTTAATAAAAAACAAACCTCTTTAGTCAACGGAGACTCTAAATTAAGAAATCAACAAATATTTTTCTAGTTTTATTGTCTGTACATTTCATTTTATACTTTCAGTACATAGACAAACAACAATATTAAAATATTAGGTTATACTTTGGTTGCTAAGCAATATGACTTAAAAGCCATTGTTGGAATGCAGTGTTACCAAAACGCACTGGCTTTTCTATATATTAGAAGTTGTTAATCTAACTAATTTTTACCAGTAATCATGCTGTGAATACGTCACGAATTCATTTCATAACTGATCTTAATTTTGATTGGCTCACAAAGGAATTTACCGACATTTGACTGCCTCATCTGCACTTTTCTACCGCTTTGTTGGTCAAGCTTGATTTATTTATTTCATTTAGCTTTGAAATGTGAAGTTACGGTATACTATGGGGTGGGGGTGGTAGCTCTTGTCCCGTCATTTTTGACGGGTTATATGCTAATAAGCTTATAATTAACAGACAAATTTTAGCAGCATAATATAAATTAATATTACGAAGGAAACAAATATCACGAAATAATAATCTCATAAAGGCCTCCAGGGTACTATATATCTTTGGTACTTTTTACAAATATTTTCATTTGTAAAGGCGCCTCTGGTAATTTTTAATATCCTTAACTTTTTAGTTGACATTTTTGTGACCTACAGCCTCACTTAACCCTAGGCTAGAAAAATATAGTTCTTTACATTTCTTAACGTAATATTTTTGAAGGATTTTGTACCCTTTCTGTATCCCGAATTTGTAGGTGTAACCTCAAGACAGAAACATAAATGATTAAAATATATTTCATTCAGTGTCTAAATGAAAGTTGCGAAACAGAGAAAAGCTATACAAAGCTCCCACAATTTTTAAAAATATACGGACAATTGATCCATTTTGATTTATACTGAGTTTTTGCTTGATCAACTGAGTCTCTTAGGTCCTTATTCTCATATTAAACAAAGACCTTAATAACTCCAAACCATTAACCGGTTCTGCTAATATAACACACTTTCTGTAAAATTCTCTTTATTTGGTACTTTGACTTTCAGTTTAAGTTCTTCCTCTAGAAGTCAGCGTGGACAGACGGCGTATGTAGATGAGTTCCGGTTTCAGAGAAATTATTTCATTCAACACAAATAAACACTTACTGTCTTATCTTTCTTTCTTTCTTATCATACCTATACACATACCTATAGTGACTAGTCCCTTCCTTGTTATTAACACACATAACTATAGCGACTAGTCCCTTCCTTGCCGTTGACACACATACCTATAGTGACTAGTCCCTTCTTGCCGTTGATACACATACCTATAGTGACCAGTCCTTTCCTTGTTATTAACACACATAACTATAGTGACTAGTCCCTTCCTTGCCATTGACACACGTACCTATAGTGACTTTCCATTCCTTGCCGTTGACACACATACCTATAGTGACTAGTCCCTTTCTTGCCGTTGACACACATACCTATAGTGACTAGTCCTTTCCTTGTTATTAACACACATACCTATAGTGACTAGTCCCTTCCTTGCCATTGACACACATACATATAGTGACTAGTCCCGAACAACCGGCAGAGAAACATACGTTGGATTTTAATCCCTCTTGCCACTGAAATGGATGCTTGAAGTGATTTAAGTTTCTTTTGTTTTTCATTGACACAAACGCACAAATTGACAAAAATTTCCATTGTAATTAGATCTATAGTGCCTAGTTTCCCTTTTCGTCAGTACACACTTAATCAAAACTAATACCTCCGTCGCCTTTGCCATAGAAACCTTCATTGATTACCCTTTCTTCACTATCGATTCGGACATAAATGTGTATTGATTAATATCGACACTGATATATACGTACATTTATTGAACAATCTTCATCTTGCCCTTGGCAAAGATGTATATATATTTTTTTGCATATACATAAGTATGTGTCTTTATGCTTTATGTAAGTTACTTTTTCATGTTTGTTTGACCTCGAAATGTGTCAAAGTTCTACTGCTTGGTTTAGTAAAACGTTTTACTTAAGAAAAGAATATTTTCATCATTAAGCGGATTATTAGATAGTATATTTAAGTACATGTAGAAGCTGGTATCTTTTCACAAGTTTTCATGGATGATGAAAACAAAATTGTATACATTAACAACTTTATTGTAATATTCCAGAGTATATGTTAGTGCTTATTATGGATCATATTCAAAAGTTTTGACCAACATTAATATTCAAACAGAAATGAAAGAGGCTTCAAGGTGTTGAAATATTCATCTTCTTAGATCGAAAAGCATGAAGAAATAATAAAAAAAACGAGTCAGAAGAAAACGGAAGTCGTTGGAAAAGAAATCAATTAACATTTATGTATCGGTTTCAATTAGTGAATAAAACATACGTAATTCCAAATTTATGCTTCTTTAATTTTCTGAATCACTTGTTCCTTCATCAATTTTAACTGGAAACTGTTTGTGGTAAGGCATTTTATAGCATTAAGTGCTGCAATAATTTAGAAATCAGCAAAAAGCACTTCTAATAAACATTGAGTGCTTTCTTTTTTAGGCCTACTAAAGGATAATTTACTTAAACAATGGCCTTATATATTTTCATATTAAATTAATTCATATAAATTAAACTATTTTAATACCTAAAATACACAGTATTTAAGTATTAATTATTTCATCTTTATACAATATTTGTCGAAACCAGAAGGATGAACATCAGCTGGGGCCTGAAATGGCCTTTTCTTTTACTTAAATTGTAACTTGCTTATATAAAATAATCGATATGATAGATCCTTAATGACATATATATATCTTCACTATTTTATGGCACCCAAGATGGCGGCCACTAACAAATGAGAACCGATGTTAATTAAAGTATACATTTTATACGAGAATTGCTTCTCAAGTGTTTATTTAAAAAGTGATATGTTTGTAAAAAAATGCAATCAATCAATCAATCAATTATAATGTTCCCCCAAATTCTGATGGTTGACAACTATGGCCTCCCATTATTTTGTATATCTCGCTGCTTGCAATAACTTTCCTTATTCAAGAGTTTCATTTCCAATCCATTTTCTAATCTCATCAAGCCATATGCCTGCCTCTCTCTCTTCTTCCTTCGATTTTAACCATCATAATCTCTGTTATCCTTCTCCCAGATCTAACTGTATGCTCAAAATAGCCCATCTTCTGTTTCTTCCGTATATCCAACACTTGTAGTTCTGTTTAGTTTTTCTTTCTATGTATTTGGTCTTTATCATTCGTCTATGAGACACATTTCAAATACTTCCACCTGTCGTTTTGTTTCAGTAGCCGGGGTCTACATTTCCACCCCTTTGTGTAGGTCTGACTATCTGTAACATTTTAGTAGTCTGTACTTCAATTCTAGTGATCACCTCCTATGAGCAAGTATTTGAGATTGAAGGATGTTTTTTGTTTTGTTTTACCATTCTCTTGATCTCTTTTCCACACTCGCCATTATTAATTACATTCTTCTATAAATAGGTAAAATAACTTTACCTGTTCCAAATCATTACCTTCTACGTTGGTAGAACTTCCTGAATCGTAAAATTACCACCGTATTAATTCTGTTGACACTTTTTCAGAAGTTATAGACTTTCCGTTTATCAAGAAGTCTGTCAGGTATCCGTTATATCTCTTCCTCAGATTCACGCATAAGTGACGTATCATCAACATGTCTATTATTACAGGTTATATTTCTATTAACTTTCAAACCTTGTGTATTAGTAATTATCTCTCTCATCAACCACTACACATACAAATTATATAATGTCGGTAACAACACACTTCTTTGTCGTACGCCTTTCTTAACCTGCAATAAAAGTATATTTCTCTGTCAGTTCAATCTGCTGCTTCCCTGCTTAAGTATACATTCTTCAGAATTCGGATATCTGCTTCATTAACCCCAATCTGCGGAAGGGTCTCCATTAAATTTTAATAGTTAATATTGTCTAAAGGTTTTTGTAGCATACATAAAATTTCTTTGCCCTTCTATCCCAAAATCCTAAGGCCAAAAATATTCTCTCGCATGTCTCAACCTCTTCTAAAATAATTTTGGTCTCCAAACAGCTTATTCTAAACCTCTTTTAATTCTTTGATGAGTACTTTTAATAATATTTTTGAAGTTTTACTAATCAA